CTCTTCTTAAATGAAGTATGCAATTGTTTTTGCTCACCCATAAAAATATTTTTGCAGCAAAAACTTCTGCATATTTTGAAACTGAGTTATTCAGCTTAATCTTGCATGAAAACTAACATGAATACAAGGAGACAAGTAGATATGGAAAACACCAAATTAAACAGCTTGCAAACATATAAAAACATTAATATTAGCTTCATACATGCAAATGTGCCCTGTGCTGGCTGGTAATTGACATTCGAATTTTCTTTAGTTGAGTGGTTTTAGGATCTCACTCTTAATGTATGAGCAACACCATTTTAAACATTGGCACAAGATGTAAAGCATAATATCCATCTATAAGCTTCTGTAGTGAGCAACAGAAAAATATACTACAGAGTAATTCTTTTTCTAACTACCCCCAACCAAAATTCAGATTGTGTTTTTGCTAGAAGTCAAATTTCCGTATTTTATAATCCAGAGCAATGGTTTCAAAGTGTGGCCTCTAGACTAGCAGCCGGCAGTGTCACCTGGGAACTTGTTAGAAACATCTGGCAGAAATGCAAATACTTGGGATACAGATTTGTACAATCAGAAACTCTGGGAGTGAGGTCCAGAAAACTGCATTCTCCCAAGGCTTCTAAGTGATTTGGTGCCTGTTGAAGGATTGGCTGAGGACTATGGAAGGCTAAATCTATAGGTTAAATTTCTCAGTGCCTGTGACAGGAAATATGAGGCTTGCTCCATCCCTCACTGTTTCTCCAATCCAACTTAGTGGGTAAACTACAGATGCAAGAGATGCTCCAAAACAATGAAAGACTGTGACAGCTGCTCAAGGCATCATCTGAAGAGACACTACAAAGATGTTATTGTCAGATGTTTCTCTGAATTCCCTTTGTGTTGTGAGTCTCCACTTCCTTCTGTCCACTGCCAGTTCCAAAGTGGTTCTGTTGCTTTTTCACCTTTGTGAATTCTAAGCATAGCAACATTTTTGAAGATAATGCAAGTAATAACTGTGCATTTTTATAGTGCTCTGTCCTTTTAAAGACTTTTATGCAGATCATGTTGTTTTATCTTCACAACTCTCCTATAAAGGTTAACCTACTGGGAAATGTGGATGTCGATTTAGAAACCTCTAATAAAGTCCCCAAATTAACAACCACTTTTAGAGAACAGACTATATGAGGCAGTTTTATGGAAAATTATTTCTAACACAACTTTGCAAGCTATCCAAAGACAGTAATTGAAGAATATCGAAAATGTATTAAACACATGCAACAAAATTATATTAAAGTGAAACACTGTTTCATAAAGTATGTTTAATCCTATGTAAATTTAACACAGTGCTATTTATTACAAAAACTGATGCTATTGTAAGAGAAGAGCCCTTATTCACAGTAACAAGGGAGGAAGGAAGGGAATGACTTTAAAAATTCCTGCTCTAAAAAGAAGTCTTTATTTTCCTTCCATATTTCCACATGAGATCTGAGCAAAACCCCTATTTATTTTCCTGAGAAACATAAAGTTACATTCAAATTTTGGGGAATTCAACAGGACTTGTAAAATCTAAACATAAGCATTATTTATAACCCAAAAAAAGGGGTACCAATAAAATTCCTTCGTCCTTGTAGATTTCTCTTGTTTCAGCTGATTAGCTCCTTACTTGCTAGGCAGTTTCTGTGGGACTCAAGCATCTCAACTACAATGGCCTCTATGAAGTCCTCAGGGTTCATGTCATATACCAAGGTCATGTCTTACTGAATCCATAGGGCAGCATTGGTTTGTAGGAAGGCATAATTTTATGATCACTCATGGGGCAGATGATCTTCCATACAGTATTCTTTGTTGGTGAGTGGACTTATTAGTAAGACTCAGCACTGGTCCGGGCTCTGCCTGATGTTGTACACTTACCAAAGTTACATTTACCTGCTTCATTGGCAAATCACAGGAGCTCACCATAAGATGTACACATCACCAGGCCTTCAAAACAGCATTTATATCACAATCTACTGGCTATGAAAGAGTCTATCCCAGATCATCAGATAAATCACCTGAATTTACAGAGGCTGGCCTGGGGCATTATCTATCTGGGGTCCAGAACTTCTGAACAAAAGGGCAGAAAATATAAGTGAGCCAGCCGTGAGGCTTGTTCATCAGTGCCCCGGCCTTCCCGTTAGATCATAACACTGCTCTCAGGTTAGCTCAGGAGCAGGCCTGGGGAGCCCTGGGATTTTTCAGAATAGTGGAAAAGTAAACACCTCAATTTAAAATCATCCTCTGCGTGGCCTCAAATTATATCTGGTTCCTTTAACCTGGGACACTATTTTCTTCTACAGAAATGAAAGTCTTTTCAGGCAATCCATTCCAATCAAACTTTGTGTTATCACCCTGAAAAGTTTGTTTCAATAAGAGAAGCCAATACTTCAGGAGATGTGTGTGATTTCTATGTATCTGAACTGCTATTTGTCCTGCTCATCCTAATGCTGTGCAAACTTTCCCTTTCCTGGAACCTTGTAAAGCAAGGTCTACTAGCCATTAAAAACATCCATGTCAAAACAGGACATCTTCAGACTATGAATCTTCAATCATAGTGGCTTAAGACAGATCCTGGCGTTCAATGCCATATTTAACTATGCTCATCCATACTCAATAGGTTTCCACTGAAATATTTTTGTGATGAATCAAATTACTAGCAATTAAAGGTTAATTAAAGACAATCATTAAACAAATATTGTCTTAATTTTGTATAATAGAATGTAAAGGGAATAACTCCAAGTATTCTTGCCATTTAGCCAAGTCTTAATCTTTGTCAAATTGCCTTAACACTTTACATTTAACTAATTGATGAACAGTTTCCTGTTGCACCTTTGTCATTTTTCATGATTTGGCTTTTTCCATAGATCTTTCATGTAGGTTTGCAGCTGATGTGCATATGCATTCCTCACCAGTGCATTTCTAGAACTTTCAAAGCTTACAATTTTTGTTTTGTACATTTTCTTTTCACCTGTTTCTGCCTCTGGGTTTGTTGCCTATTTGTCAAAACAAAAAAAACATAATCAATTAGAAAAAAAATTGGAAGCCAAGAAAGTAAAATAGGACCTGATGGAATTAGAAATAAAGAAGCAGAGAGGATAAATTTTCAGTTATAAGCTACTAGTGAAGTAAAACTCTAGGAACAAAGTTGAGTAAGATGGCCACCTGCCTGTTTCAAGTATTCTCAAAGTCACAGAAAAATACCAGTCAACCTGAAGATGCTCCATTGATAACTGTGGCAACCTCTTCACCCATCATGGCAACTTATCTGCCACAGCTAGAGTCTCGAAGCCAAGAGCTCAAGTTCTTTTTGAGGACCAAGTAATTCCAAAACTTTAAAGACACTACCAGAAATACAAAAACATACACTGAGTCAAATATGATGGTTCTGAAAATGAACCACACGCCATATGCTCCACACAACAAAGGCACTAATGTTTTTCCAGATGCATATATCATGGCTTCCGAAACCATTTCCAAGAGGCTTAAATGCAAGAAGAATGGCCCATCTCTGGTAGCTATTTATATTGGATGTTGGTCCATTTTTTTCAGTCACTTCTGATTAGCTTTGACCTGAAATGTTGGGTTGCAGATCTTTAGAAAGGTAGATTTTTGGATTGAAGAAGTAGAGGAATGCTTTATAGGTTGTTTTTAACCTGATTATTAATTTAATGGGCTGAAATAAATGTTCAAATATCAACTATTTGGCAAATACAAATAAAAGCTAATCATACTCTTTCATGTGTGTATCTAATATAAAATATTAATATGTATGTGTTGGTTACACTGTGCAATGGCATATTTGATATGAGTATATGCACACCTTTAAGATTTGGTCAGGCCTTCAAAGCTTATCTCTTCTCCCTGGGTCTCAAAAAGCAGAGCCTCTATTGTCTCCAAGAGTAAGTATTGAAAGCACATGTTAATGGTCCATGACACTGGAGCATCATCAAGGAGGTTTTGGTGACTGATGCTCTTGAAGCGGTTGCTTAATGCCCCTCTCCCCTGCATTTGGATCATATGAGAACTGTCAAGTTTAAAAAGCTATACAAGCACGCCTTTCTTCTTTTCTACTGTAATGCACCAGTAAATTATTCATTCTTTATGGTTTATTAGTACTTTTCAAAAGGAAAGAACAGACTGCTGCCAAACCTGGCTATGGAATCAGATGGGGGTGGGAGTTGGCTTTGTAATTCATAGAAAATAGAAATTTCCCATTGTCTGGAATGTGGTGTCGGTGAGACTTTGTTTTCATAATCACAGCACACAGTAAGAAGTTTCCATATGTAAAGAGAATAATTATGTTTGCACAAGTACATCACCATTTTAGAGATGCACAAAAAGACAGGCTGAGAAAGTAAAAGAAAAACAACTTCTTTGTTGCATATGAATCCTTTCTTATTTTTCACTATATACATGCAATTTTCCACATATAGAGTCACCTATTATTCAAACCTAAGCAGAAGAAAGGTAGTCTGGGATTATCATCCCCTTCTCCTTCCACTCCCCCAGTTGTTGGCAGACCTAAATTAGTGAATATTCTTATAAGTTGGTTTACTGATGTGAACAGTTTTTTAGACCTTTAAAAGGAGCTTCCTTTTAAAATGCAAAGATGAAAATCACTGTTTCATTAAGAAATCCACATGCAGCTTGTTACCTGCTTAAGGGAAAACATTTCCTTTGAGTCTAAATCAAGCTAGTAAATTTAAGACACCTGGGAGTGTTGGGTGCACTGAACTTTTGGCAGAAGTCCCGAACTAAAAGAGCTAATGCATTATTTTGCTTTGTTTCTTTGTAAGAAAAAAACAGTCTGCTGCCAAACCCAGCTCAGGAATTACATGGGGAGGGGAGAAATTTGCAGCCCATTGATAAAGCCCAATACAGATAATATTAGAAGAATTTTTCCCTCCTATGAGCATTCCCTTTAGCCATAGTGAAATGCCCGAAGAGAAGGGTGTTGTGGTTAGTTCTGCCTTGGTTGTTCTTACCCGGATAGAGGTCAGGCCCAGGCCCGGGAGAGCATCCCACGTTGCCATCAGCAGCAGTGTCTCTTGGAGAAGTGGCTGGCTGCAAGGGCTGCACAGTGAGGCAATCTGAGAGCAGGTCTGGATGGAGCTCAGTGCTGGACCGAAGCTGAGAGAAGGAGAAAACAAGAGAGATGGAGAAAGAAAGCTGATCCTTGGAATACTTGCCTGGCAAGGTCTCATGCCCTAAGGTTCAATGCAATTCAATCCACAAATATTTATCAAGCAGCCACTATGGGGAAGGCATGAGCTTTACACAGTGTCAATAAAAGGGCTGGTTTGCCAATACTAATAACACCTGGCAGGTGCTCCAGGAAAGACGTGGCTAGAGGCAAGCAGAGCTGACTTCAGTCCTCAATATTTCCACTTCTGGGAACCCAACTTCCTATTGTATTTCCATTTATTTGTGCTGTATCTTATCAGAACTTGTAGTGATAACAAAAACAAACTCAAGTAGGTTTACCCCATATTGAAAAGTGCTTTTAAAATAGAGAGATACTGTCATGGAATATCTGGAGATAATGAAGAAATATCCATTGAGATTTGACTTCTGCAGATTTTACAGGAAAGGAAAGTACTCAAGTTAAACTTTAAAATATTATGGAGCATGATTAAAAGAAAAACTGATATCATTAACAGCAACAAAACCCAGTTAGAAGTTACATTATAACAACATGGATTTGAAGTTAATCACATGTAAGAAAATTAATAATTCTTTTCTTATATCTTTATTTATTTTTTATTTTATGTGGTGCTGAGGATCGAACCCAGTGCCTCACTCATGCAAGGCAAGCACTGTACCTCTGAGCCACAACCCCAGCCCAAATAATTCTTCATATATTAAAGAGTCACATGAAAAACCAAACCATAAAAATGTTGAAGTATAGGAAAAACTTTTATGAGTAAAAATTTTTTAAATGTAATTTGAATGGGAAAGGTTACAATGGAAGATTTAGTGACATAAAAATATTAACCTGCTTGTCCAAAAACATAATACTTGTGAGGCGTGGTGACACACATCTGTAATTCCAGTGACTTGGGAGGCTAAGACAGAAGGACTGCAAGTTTGAGACCATCCTCAACAACTTAGTGAGGCCCTAAGTAACTTAGCAAGACCCTGTCTCTAAATAAAAAATAAAAGGACTAGGAATGTGGCCTCTGGGTTCAATCCCTGGTACCAAAAAAGGAAAACAGGAAAAAACCTTAAGAATGCTCTATAAAGTATTTGTTACCAATATTGCAAATGGTTATCATCTTTGGTAATTTTTTTAAGTTCAAATTGACTTTATAAAGACAACACTGAGGGGTTGGGGTTGTGGCTCAGGGGTAGAGTGCTCACCTAGCATGTGTGAGGTGCTGGGTTCGATCCTTAGCACCACGTAAAAATAAATTTTAAAAAATAAAGGTATTTAAAAAAAAGACAATACTGAATCTTTAGATACAGGGCTGGGAGATACTTATTCATATTTGACAGATATGCACTAAGCATCCCATACTTTGGGAGATGACAGGAATACTTAGTGCCTTTAAGGAACGTATGTTCTTTATGCAGAAGCAGATGATGTACAAATACAGTATACACAACATCAGACAAGGGCAAATGCTATGAAGAAGCATAATGTAGAGAAAACAGATGGCAAGTAAGGATGAGGGATGGTGAGTTTAGACAGGGGACCAGGGAAGGCCTCTTGAAGATGGCATTGGTTAAAAGCTTTGAAAGAAGTGAGGGAACAAGTCCTGCAGCCAGGGGGGGATGAGCATGCCTCCCAGCGGTGTGCTTGGACAATCCCCAGGCAGTAAGGCCTATGCAGAATAAGACTGGGGACTGAGAGAAACAAGATGACACAGGGACTGGAAAGGGACCACAGGGAGAGGTTACGTAAAGTCTTGACATCAACAGAAAATGCTTGAAAAGAGAAATGAATAATAAGGAACATTGAAATGTTCAGCATACTTGCAAAGCAGTTCAAAGTTAAAACTTTTTTTATTTATCAAATTATCAAAAACTTTAAAAAGGAAATGGTGGTAGTGAAGTTACAGGGAGAGGCATTCTTAAATATTGTTGGCGGGGGCGTTTATATAAACTTTCTAGATGGCCTCAGGGAATACTTTTTCAAGACCCATAATAGAAATAAATTGATTCTAGAATCTCTAATTACATATAGCAATGCCAAATTAGGAAATGCTATTTAAAAGTCTACAATTAGAGCATATAAATACTCTTACATCTATTTGATGCATTTTGTACCTATTAAAGTGATGTTAACAAAGATAAAAGGAAAACACAAAGTGCTATGCACAAAATGTTAATGATTACATAAAAACACAAAGATAAATACAGAAGGAAATGTAATCCTATATTAAAACTGATATTTGTTCTTAGCCACAATGTTATGAATTTATTGCCTCTGCTTCCCCCCACCCCCATGCTTTCCCTCTGCTTTCAACTCTATATTCCAATGACATGCTAGAGCTGGCATGTATCAACTGAAGAATGCCAACTGTGTACATCTTTCCCAAAATTTCCCTGCAGTAACATCATATTGATAGCTTGAAATTGTTCACAATGAAAATATTTACATCATAGAAATTGGCAATTGCTACAAACTGGGACTTTTTTTTATTGGACCTGGTTAATAAAAATTATCAGAACATGTTGCTGATGACTATGGTAATCTGATCAGAAAGAAAAAGATATACAGCTATGGTTTGGATGTGGTTTCTTTCAAAGGTTCATGTGTTAGAAGCTTGGTCCCCAGTGTGGCAATGGGACCATTAAGAGATGGGGTCTGGAGGGAGTTCCTTAGGTCACTGAAGGTGTTGCTTTCAGAGAGAATTAAGGTAGTTCTCCTGGGACCTTGAGTTAGTTGTTATAAGACAACATGCCTAACCCCAGAATCTCTCTGGCTTTCTGTCTCATCACATGATCTTTCCTCCTAGTACGTTATTCCCATCATGACATCATCCACCAGGTGATGCACCACAGGGCCCTTGCCAGTCATGCTGTTTTGGACTTTCAGCCTCCAAAATCATGAGCTAAATAAGTCTCTTTTATTACAAAGAACCTAGTCTCATGTATTTTATTATAGCAATAGAAAATGGACACAAACACAAACTGATATTTAGAAAGCAATATTTCTTGGATCTTAAAAAATTCCATGAAGAGACAAACATATGTCCAGGTCTTAGTTCAAGAATATGAAAATGGCATAGTGACCCTAAGTACAAGGAAGGCACATTTAACACATGTAGCAAATGAGACAATTATAATTTTCTCAGTTTTGGCACATTGAACTCTCTGACCACGACTGTCTGAGTTAATGTCTAACACTCTCCAGGGCCTTTGGAAGGTATGTTTATTATTTCGGTACTAACCTAACACATGCCACTTAAGAAAAAATAGAAAAAAAAAATCAAGGCTTAGCATGAGTTCTGGTGGTCACATTTAATTTATCTTCCCCATCATTAAAATGTGATCTGGGGTCCACATGTTCTACTAAGGGCAGACATGAACCCTTCTCTGCTTTCTATTACCAGCCACTCTAGGGTTTTATAGTTATCAGTACCAATGAGGTCTTTCCAAGGAATTTCACGGCCATGGTTAATCCTGGCGTCAAAGGCAGGCAATTCTTCCTTAGCTTCAACAAGTATTCACATTTTCCAAGAGTGTGATTCCATATGACTTTGTGGTGAGAGTTAATTTGGTTTTCTCTGGGATTAGACATGGTTCTAGAAAGTGCTTCTTAAATTGAACAAGCCTTGAGGACTTTATGCAGAATTTCCCAAAGAGGGCCATATGCACAGATATGATATGTAAGTTTAGTATTCCTCCAAGAATACTGGACCAGAAAAGAGCCTTCCAGATAATTTTAGGGTCTTAAATATTATTTAGTCTAGGAATTATAAAATGGGTGAGGCAAGAGGCATATAGACAAAATTTCTTAGAAGAAAAGTTATTTATTTGGAATAAACTAGTTACATAAAACAATTTACACAACTATTTACACAAAACAATCCCATATTGTATTTTTCAATATCTTCTTAGCTGCTAGGGATACATGAAGACTACTGAGGGCAATTTTTCAATGGCACAATGGGTCTCTAATTATAGTTCTGGCATGAACTACAGAATCACTGTGGACCATTTCCAAGTTCCCTGGTGGTAATGATACCGTTGGTCTGCAGATCACACTTTTAGAACGATTGGTCTCCAGAGACCTTGCACCTAATAGAAGAAAATTTAGGCCTAACTCTCCATCATGTCGGCATAGGAACTGACTTCCTCAACAAGACTCCTAAAGCACAAATAGCAAAATCAAGAATGAATAAATGGGATAGATTCAAACCAAAAAACTTCTTCATAGCAAAGGAAACAATCAAGAACATGAAGAGAGTGCCTACAGAATGGGAGAAAATCTTTGCCACTGACATCTCAGAGCATTAATCTCCAGGATACATAAAGAACTCAAAAACTTAACACCAAAAAAACCCCACAAATAACCCAATCAATAAATGGGCAAAGGAACTGAATAGACACTTCTCAGAAGAAATACGAATGACCAACAAATATATGAAAAAAAGTTCAACATCTCTAGCAATTACAGAAATGCAAATTAAAACTACACTGATATTCTATCTCACTCCAGTCAGAACGGCAATTATCAAGAATACAAGTAACAATAAATGTTGGTGAGGATGTGGGGGAAAGGGTTCACTCATACACTGCTGGTGGGAATGCAAATTGGTGCAACCACTCTGGAAAAGAATATAGACATTTCTCAGTAAAATTGAAATGGAACCACCATTTTATGCAGTTATCCCACTCCTCAGTATATATACCCAAAGGTTTTAAAATCAGCATACTGTAGTGACAGAGCTACATCAATGTTTATAGCAACTAAAGTCACAACAGCTAAGCTATGAAACCAATCTAGGTGCCCTTCATCAAAGGAATGAATAAAGAAAATGGTATATATATATACACACACACACACACATACATACACACACACATACACAATGAAATATTAATGTCATAAAAAAGAAATTATGGCCTTTTTGCCAGTAAATGGATGTAACTGGAGAATCTCATGCTAAATAAACTAAGCC